TGAATATTTGTGTTTGTGACCATCTAGTGGTTTTTTGCAGAATTCCTGGGTTTGTTTGCATCTTATTTGGTGTATTGTGTTTATTTTAAGTGTCAGTTCTGTTTTAATTAATAAATGTAAATCACACCACCTAATGCTAATTTGCCACTTGTTAACAATAAAGTGAATATGCCAATAAAACTTTCTGTGATGCACATATTTTCGTAGCCAAATGTGAAATTATCTTAAATAAAATAGCATAGGGATAGGTAACTTCATTTCAGCCTTATGAATCTTGTGATGTCTTTGGTCTCAAGTACACCGGGCCTGATGTGAGGACCATCCACTGTCTTCATAGTGGCCGGGAGAGAACCACTTAGTTATTCTTTCCGGAGGATAGGGTTTTTTTCATTGACCTGGGAGATGAGATTTGGATTCCTCAGTCACCTTGAAAAATACTGTATACCAGATATTTAAATCAGTGTGATCCACTTATATAAATTTAGCTCTGTATCTCTTCTTTTTCCCAACTATACGGAGAGTTTAGTTTATATAGAGCCTATCACTGTGATAACTGTAGTAAATAATTCCTTTTTCTATTAAGGCTGTAAGGTATAATACATAACCTAAGCTTGATCTGGGTTTGTTCTCCTTCATGAGGTTAGAGCACTGTTTTGTTGATGAAATGATTAAGCAGGGAAAATGCAGAAGTTGTATTTTTCTTGTAAAATTCACTTATGTGAGCAGAAATTGTAATAAGGGGTTGGGTTCCTTATTTCGTTGGCTAAATACATAAGAGTAGAGACCAATTCCTCTTTTCTTTCCTCTTTTTAGGGGAAAGTTCCTCCTACTGGGCTCCTTTGTTTGCTTCACCACACCCTCTTCAGAGGAAGGCAGATAGTTTTCCCTTCATTCTGGATGAAATTCGTTTATGCCCCAAGAGTCTGCAAAATCTCTTGTCCCCATTGAGATTCCATTATATATTCCTCATACTGGCTTCCTGTTTATTCTAGTTCACCATGAACCATTCCAATCAGATAGCAATAAAAACAATAATAACAAAAAACCACAACAACAAAAAAAAGGCCCATCAAAAACCTAAGTAGATGCTGAATGAAACCTATCATAAACCAAACATCTCCAGCTCAGCACAAAGCAGAAAAAGTCATAGAATCATAGCATGGTTTGGGTTGGAAGGGACCTTAAAGATCATCTATTTCCAATCCTCCTGCCATGAGCAGGGGCACCTTCCACCAGACCAGGTTGCTTAAAGCCCCGTCCAACCTGGCCTTGAACACTGCCAGGGAGGGGGCAGCCACAGCTTCTCTGGGCAATCTGTTTCAGTGCCTCACCACCCTCAGAGTAAAGAATTTATCCTAATCTAATCTAAATCTACCCTCTTTCAGTTTAAAGCTATCACCCCTTGTCCCAACACTCCATGCTCTTGTAAAAAGTCCCTCTCCAGCTTTCTTGTAGGCCCCTCCAGGTACTGAAAATCTGCTGTAAGATCTGCCCAGAGCCTTCTCTTCTCCAGGCTGAACAGCCCCAACTCTCTCAGCCTTTCCTCACAGGAGAGGTGCTTCAGCCCACAGATCATTTTTGTGGCCCTCCTCTGGACCTGCTCCAACATGTCCATGTCTTTCCTGTCCTGGGGGTTCCAGAGCTGGACTCAGGACTCCAGGTGGGCTCTCGCCAGAGCAGAGCAGAGGGGCAGAATCCCCTCCGTCGACCTGCTGGCCACACTGCTTTTGATGCAGCCCAGGATATGGTTGGCCTTCTGGGCTGCGAGCGCACATTGCTCGGTCATGCTGAGCTTCTAGTAAGCCAACACCCCCAGGTCCTTCCCCTCAGGGATGTGCTCAGTCCATTCTCTGCCCAGCCTGTATTTGTGCTTGGAATGGAACTGAAAGGAAACATATAACCAGCCAGGAGGCATTTAGCCCTGCATCTTCAGCTAAAGAACTATAGCTGTAAACACCTGGCTGATGGTATGAAGTGAGATTTGAACTTTGTTTTCCAGTGGCATTCCTTGATCTGGCTTCCTAAACACCAGAAATTCTTCCTTCTCATTATAAACCACAGAGCAGCTAACTCATTCTTGCTGTTAGAAACATGCAACGCTGCCTTGCTCACAGGGGTTAGTCACCCCTTGCTCCGTTCTCATAATCCCTTCCAATAACAATGCTAAAATTCTTTTTACCAATTTAAATACCTAAGTTGTTTTCCCTTGACACCTTCCCATAAATTCCATGTAGTTCTAAATTGTGGCTTTGACCTACTCATGTTCCTCCTTTGCTGTGGCCAAATAAAGAAGTATGTAAAGGAAAGTGGCAGGGAGGTAGGTGTGGTGGTGATACCCTGCAAGGTTTTAATCTCTTTACCCATTCCGGCAGAGCAGTTTATTGTTGTCATGTTTGTAGTTTCAGGAGAGACCAGATAAGGTTCTCAAATGGAAGGAACAAATCAAAGAGCACAAGTCACTGCATTTAGCAATTAGTCTTTGCATGTAAGCTGTGACTCAGGAAATCTGGCAATAAGAATAAGGCAGGCAGGATATTTATGAAGAGAAGCAATCAGAAAACCCCCACAATTTCATAATAACTGAATTTAAATTTCTGCTCTGGATCTAACCTTGGTCCTTCCCCATGATAGGCCTGAAACTGCTTGATTTGCCTCAAGATTTTAGTTGTGGGTTGCTGCTTAAGTCATTTAAGCTGACTGAACTTCCAGTTTTGTAGTAGCTAATGCTGCATCTGTGTGTTTTAATTCCCACTGACCTTTCCTTGCCAAGTGGTTATTAGGAAATAAATCTTGGCATTCGACTATTCTGGAATTTCCAAAAAAGCAACTGTTCTTCAGTCTCAGAGAGAAATTTAATCCTCACTCTCCTGGGACTTTTCACTAGAAGGGATTTCCAGAGAAGTCCTTAAAATAGTGATTACATTGTCTTATCTGCATTATGATATTGGGAAATCTGTTTCCCTTTCCTATTGCATACAAGAGTTATGGGTTGGGTTTGGGTTTTTTTTTCACTATTTGGAGTTAAAGTTGCAATCTCTTACACCAAGAGCTAAAGAGAGTATGTGAAATTCTCACAGTTTTACAGAGACACCACTCCTACCTCAAGAAGTCTCTTCACCATAAATGGTGGGGGGCTGTATTCCAGTAAACCATAACACTATGTTTGCTTTGCTCTGAACATCTTCCCTCACCATTAGCAGTAGGGCACACTGGGTTTCATGGATGTAGTACAGCACTACTGACACTTATTCCAGTCAGAGGAGATCTGTACAGTGCTTTGAAGCACATTCCACCATTATTTCAGGTGTTTGTTCTGAATCATAGAATCATAGGTTGGAAAAGACCTCTATTGATTGTCAAGTCCAACCATCCACCCAACACCACCATGCCTGCTAAACCATATCCCGAAGTGCCAGGTCTACATGTTTTTTGAACACCTCCAGGGATGGTGACTCCACCATTTCCCTGGGCAGCCTGTTCCAATGCCTGACCACTCTCTCAGTAAAGACATTTTTCCTAATATCCAATCTAAACCTCCCCTGATGCAACTTGAGGCCATTGCCTCTCGTTCTATCACTAGTTACCTTGGAGAAGAGACCAACACCTGCCTCACTACAACCTCCTTTCAGGTAGTTGTAGAGAGCGATAAGGTCCCTCCTCAGCCTCCTCTTCTCCAGACTAAACCAAAAAAAATTTCAGAGTAGTTCTACAGAAAATTTCTTGTAGCACAGATAAAACAATATGTTACCTTACTCTGAAGCAGGAAAAAACAGGCTGACTTAATTAAAGATTTCCCAAAATATTTAGTCCAAGGTAAATACCTGCTGTGGAAATGTCTACCTAAACTGGCCTGGTTAGAAGCAATTAAGAAACAGGTATTTTATAATGGGAAGTCCCAAGCAGCTGGAGGTTATATTACCAGCTGTGCTTTTAATGACTAGCTGTGAAAAAAGGCTAAAAAAGGAGTAATGACACCCACAAAGTCAACAGCCCAATTCCATAGAAGGCAAATATTTTATTACCAAAGGAGTTTTAATATCAAAGTAAGAAACTGAAAAAGAGTTATAAACAACTATAAAAATACTTATATTTATCCAAAATTAAATATGAACAGTATTAGTTAAATGCCAATATATTATTCTCTGAAAATATTCACACATTTTATGTCATGTTGGTCTAAAATGTTAAACATGTTATATAAAATAATTGCATATAAGAAATCACAATCTGAAGGTTTATTAACTCTAGCTCCTTCTGCAGCCAACACTAGGATAACCAAATACATAAGGCTAGTCCTGTTTCCAGTCAGCTGAACAAACGTACGTTGAGGCATCTCCTTTTTCACCGTCCATAGGTCTCTCTGTCTTGCCTCTACTTCTGCCAGTACAAGTGTGCTACATCTCTCAAAAGTCAGTACCCTTCCAAAGTTTTTCCAAAAGATAACCTTTTTCCTATTTTTCCAAACCCAAATCAGTTTGCAGACCCATTAGATACCCACGCTGAAAACATTATTGCTTCAGCAGAACAGACCCAAGATCCGTTGCTTGTTTGGTAAACTGTTCCTTTTGGTCCTTGATGCATTTTATATAGACGTAAAGAAACCAGCTGCTTTTCCACACTGTTTTCTTCACCTGCAGCTTCTAAGATGGCTTTATAAATTGTAGCAGACATGTAAGTAGATTGCTTTCATATGACAGTATTATAAAGTTATTCGAAAGATCAGAAAATTCAAAGTAGTTTCCAGAGCATGAAGGTGGGACACAGCCTTCTGCAGAGTTCTTTGCTTCCAAGGCTGATCTTTTATCTCCGCTTCTTGGACCTCAGCAGCTTGGTTTAGCCGTTTCTGTTTATTCCGTCTCCAGGAACAAGGTACAGTAGCTTTCCATCAGAATTCTGGCATAAAGTGTTACAGGCGAGCAGAGTTACTCGAAGAATGCATATAAAATGCAAAGATACCAAGTAATGCCACTTCAAAAGAGAAGAGCAGGATTCACCTGGAATCACCTGGAAATTATTTTTTCAAATTTATTCCAGCAGGATCGAAGGCTAGATATATTTTCTTTCAGTTCACAAAATTCTTGGTTACATTTCTTTTTGGACTGTTCACTTGTTTCACTATCTTCTTTATTATGTGTATTTACCTGCGTGCAAACCTGAAAAAGAATAGTTTGTATTGTTAATTGAGAAGGGCTTGTTCTTTCCATATAGACATCTTTTAAAACAAACTAATTCCATTACATCTCAATAAATAATGGAGGTACATTAATTAACTGGTAATTAAACCAGAAAGCTGGGCTACTCCCAAAACATGTTGTGGCAGTACACAGACCGCATCACTCGGACGTTCTCACTCTGAGCACAGGCCTGCTGCCGTCCTTGCCCACCGGACTGGGAGAGCGCGGCTTTAACACACAGCAAATACGGACAGCTGAAACCAGTGTGTGCAACTGAGAATGTGTACATCCTCTGTCAGTGGTTTAAAATTTATCCTCCGTTATTTGAAGGACTGGAAAAATAAAGCAAATTAAATTGTGAGCCAAACTTCAGAAGGTATGATGACTACGTGTGTGGTACCTTGAGACTAGTGGCACAACACAGACCTGTCCCCAGTGGTTGGTGCTGTGGCCTAGTGTTCAGCATCTCACCCAGAGACGATGTTTCTTGTCCATATTTGGTGACTGTTCTTGATTTTTACCAAATGACTTTAATTGGTCTTTAAATAAAACCAGGCATCCACAAGGTTAGGTTGGAGTTTCAAGAGTGACACTCTTTGATTTCTATGACTTAACTGGTATACCTTTCATGGTAAGACAAACGTTGGACTCACCACAGGTGGCTAAGCAAAATATAGACACCAACACGACTTTGAAGATCTGGTCTGAGATGATAAGAATGTCTCCATTTCAAGGAGAGAAAGAATGACTTAAATGCAGCCTTCACTCCAACTATTTAAGCCAATCATAAAGAATTATATCCTTTAGTGCCTATGGGGAGGCTTTTTGATGTTGGTGAACATTTTTGTGTTCAATAAGTAACTGTGAGCCACGCTTAAAAGAACGCCCTTCCTTTGCTACGGTACTCTGTAGATCATTGCGCTACATTTGAGTGACACATCAAAGAGCAGATTCTGCAAATGATGGCTAAAAATCCAAATATTTTCATATCTTAACTGTTCTTGTTGAGTTTGAGATATTGTGGTTAAAATAAAGATCAAAGGGATTATGGAAAGGAGAGAAACTCCCACTAATTGTTTATTAAACCAAATTAAACATTAATGTTAGGGTAGAACCCCAATAAGAAGTAACAACTATGATTTTATACACTAGAGAAGTTAAAGGCTTTCTTTGCACAAGTGTGGTCTTTGTCTTCTGCTGGAGAATTGACTCAAATATTTCAGTACTGACACAGAGTATACATCTTCACTATAGACCTCCAGATCATTGCCTTACTTAGTCTTTGCACTGGCCTTAATGTCTATTAGAAGACATGCTACACAGAGCAAAATTCATCATGCGTGTGACGTGCACGACAGTTGTACCTTTGTGAGGTACATATGATAGTCTGTGCTAAAGAGCTCTAAGGAATATGTCACATACTTCCAATAAACTGTAGACCATCACTTCCACTCACCTTTTCTTTTTTATGTCTTTCACATTTGCACTGTAGAACCTGTAATGTCCTGCACGAGACTAATGCTGCTTTCCATCTAAAGTCTTTGCTGATTTTCTGCCTGTGAAAGAATCTGAGCATGTTGCATGCCATACTCTGTAGTGATTCTATTTCCTGTAAAGAGAGCAAGAAAAATATGTCCTGAAAAGTCTGTGCATCATTAATTCTTTATAATGTTGGTTTGTCTTTAAAAAAACCCTCCATCAGTTACCATTAGTTCCTCTTGCTTTCATAGTGCCAATCTTTTCCAACAAAACACATGATTCATCTGATCCACCCGCCATCTCTTCAAAATGTTTAAAGTATCAATAGTGCAGGGATGTTAGGGAGAAGTCATAGCCGTAATGAAACCAGCTGATGCAGTTAGGAAAACAGTGAATGGTTTTTGGAGTCAGTCCTTTTGTCAAGTCATGATAGAATTTGCAGCAACAGCCATGCTTTCCGTCATTTGAGATCTGCCCAAACTATTACTTTGAAAGCTTTCAGATCTGAAGTCAAAAGCTTAGCTAATATGATCTTCTGTAGAAAAATGAAAACAGATGTTGGGAAATTTTTATTATTACTTCCATCGGCAAAATAAAATAAGTTTTTCTGTACTATTTTGGATTAAAAATAGAAAAGAATCTTTATGGGGGTGGGAATAATTTCTTGGCTATGGAATTGCTTAATATTTTAATTTATAATATCAATTTACTTGACAAATTGTGTGATTCCAAATTCAAAAGAGTAACAACCCTGAATATCATGATTTGACTATTAAAAGGTAATATTACTCTCTATCACAATGTTATTCAGGGACTGAACTGTAGAAAGAACTCATTTAAGTTTGTATTCGCTAAAGTAAATTCTGAGAAGTTAAATTTTACCTGAGTGTCATTGCAGAAAAACACTTTGCTATTTTCATGCTTTTTATTCTTGCAGCACCTGTCACGATACTCTGCAGACATATTTACCTGTAAAATATCATACATGTTTAAACATGGAAGTACTTTTAATCAAGTGAGCTAAATTTCTCACTAACAGGTGGCAATGTCAACACGGAATTGTTCTGTAGCATCTCCTTGGCTGTAGCTGGGCCAGTGTGCAATTCTGAGCTTTTCCTTGGCAAGCAGGCAAAGAAAACCCCAATCCAGCTACAATTTCTACAGGTATTCATTGACAGAATCACAGAATGGCTGAGGTTGGAAAGGACTTCTGCAGGTCATCTGGTCCAACCCTCTTGCTCAAGCAGGGCCACCCAGAGCCGGCTGCCCAGGACCATGTCCAGATGACTTCTGAATATTTCCGAGGATTGAGACTCCACAACCTCCTTGGACAACCTGTGCCAGTGCTCGGTCACCCTCACACTGAAAAAGAGCTTCCTGATGTCCAGAGGGAACCTCTCGTCTTTCAGTGTGTGCCCATTGCCTCTGGTCCTGCCACTGGGCACCACTGAAATGAACCTGGCTCTGTCCTCTTTGTACCCTCCCTTCAGGTATTTATGGACATTGACAAGATCCTGCTGAGCCTTCTCTTTCCAGGCTGACTGGTCCCAGCTCTCTCCACCTTTCTTTATTGGACAGATACTCCAGTCCCTTCATCATCTTTGTGTCCCTATGCTGAGCCCAGAACTGGACACAAATGTATTCATTTTAAACCTTAATATTCTATAGAATTACTTCGTTCTTTGGCATTTAAAAAATGCAGAAATAGTTAAATCTTGCACAGACATCAAATACAATGTTTGTCAATGTTTGTCTCAATAAATAGATGCCCAGGCATCTAAACAGATTGTAGCACTCACTTTGCATAAACACTAACAAACGATATCCCAAGCAATATCACTTGCTCCCTTTGCGTGACCATAATCTTTTATCAGTGGTTTATTCTCTGGAGGTTTTTCTTCTTCTACTTTCCCAGTTGTCATCGAGATGACAACTGAGCGCAACTCATCAAAATTCCTTTGCTTTCTTCCTCAGCCTGTATCCAGATAACCTAATACAACCAGAAGGGCTTTAAAAAAGGCAGCTCATGAGAATACTGTGTCAGATCTCCTCACTTAGGCATGTATATGAGCACATTATACAACTTAATTCTTAAAGTTTATCCGCAGATTTTAGTGTAATGTTGCCTCTATTTCAGAAGTTCACCCAAGATGAATAGAACTTCAGCCAGGAAGTGTTTTCAAACCCAAGAGTTTAGGGAGTCAGATATTCACTGCCAAAAAAAAAAAAACAACACCCAAAAAACAAAAACTTTTAGAAAAGAACGCACATCTCTGCTTGTACCACAAGAGAATGAAGTTTTGCTGCAGTCAGACAGCACCAAGATTTACAAATAAATATATAAACACATAAATAATTACCCTAAAACCTGTGTATCTGTGGCTTCATTTGCTAACTGCTAAGGGATTTACCCATTTGCACAGACCTCCCAGATCATCTATACTAAAGATATATGTATAATGTACAGTAATCATTTCTGAAGGCAGTTTATTTGCTGTGACTAAAGCAACCTAAGGGAAATTCTGCCCTCACAAGACATTAGTGAAAACTAAATTAACCTATGGAGGTCTAGTATATAACCCACTAGTCATCTCCATAACCGCCTCCAAACGTCAGGCTGAGGGACTGAACGTTATTGACTCCGGCTCCACAACTGCAGGGAAGTGCCCAGTGGGCAGCTGCTATCGCCCAATCAGCACTGTCCACAGTATCTGCTACTAAGTTATAGTGACAAAACTATACACTGATTTTACACAGAGGATGAACTAATCCCTCTGAAACTGGGAAAATTGCAGAGCAGTTGCTGGTGAGTGCTTATTCTACTAAAAGCTTCAGAGTTCAGTACATTCCCATTACCTTTTACAAGCAATAATTCATTAAGGTTTTATTTGTGTATTTATTTATTTATTTGGATAACAGTTTTAGTTCTCATACACCCTCCTAAAAAACTCCATCAGTGATAACATTTATTAAAATGAAAAAAGATAAAGGCTTCCAAAAGGTATCTGGAAGAATGGCATTGCTCCATTCCAATCCCTGATGAGACCCTGGGGCACCGAGTGCACGAAGCTGCAGCCCGCAGCTGGGCAGCGGCAAGGCATTGCCACCTCCAACCTGGGAGACCCCACCCAGCTTCTCTGACCCTGAAGCTCCGGCAGAGCCAGCATGCTCCTCAGGATGCTACTCGCGGCTCTCCACCACAGCCAGACAGCAGGAGCTGCGAAACCCAGAGGCTATTTTTCCTGTCACAGAATCACAGAATGGTGGGGGTTGGAAGCGACCTCTGTGGATCATGTAGTCCTAACCCTCTGCTGAACAAGGGTTACCTACAGCAGGCTGCACAGGACCTCGTCCAGGCGGGTCTTGACTATCTCCAGAAAAGGAGACTCCACAACCTCTCTGGGCAGCCTGTTCCAGTGCTCCGTCACCCTCAGAGTGAAGAAGTTCTTCCTCATGTTCAGAAGGAACTTCCTATGCTTCAGTTTGTGCCCATTGCCCCTTGTCCTGTCGCTGGGCACCACTGAAAAGAGTCTGGCCCCATCCTCCTGATACCCACCCTTGAGACATTTATAAGCATTTATAAGGTCCCCTCTCAGCCTTCTCTTCTTCAGGCTAAACAAGCCCAGCTCCCTCATCCTTTCCTCACAGGAGAGATGCTCCAGTCCCCTCATCATCCTTGTAGCCCTCCGCTGGACTCTCTCCAGTAGCTCCTCATCTTTCTTGAACTGGGGAGCCCACAACTGGACGCAGTACTCCAGGTGGGGCCTCACTAGGGCAGAGTAGAGGGGGAGAAGAACCTCCCTTGACCTCCTGGCCACACTCCTCTTAATGCACCCCAGGATGCCATTAGCCTTCTTGGCAGCCAGGGCACATGAAAACTGTCACACAATTTTCTCTTATAGGTCAGCTATCTTACAACTGCTCACCACAAAAGGGTTTATTTTTGTTCTCTAAGGAACACTTTGTCAGAAATATGACGACAGACTGAAGGGGCTACTTATCTGTTCTAACATGGCCATGAGTACTTTCCCCAACTTTGGTTCCTTGATCAGGATAAGGTCATTTATCTACGGAGAAGCACCTTTCTCTCTTCATAATCTCAACAAGCACAACATGATCAGAATATTTTTGAAGATTAAATGATCGTTCCCTGACCCTAAAGGTATTTTGTTTCCAGATGAGGGCTGATGTGTCTTGACAGAGAAAGGCTGGAAACCACTGGCATAATGCTCTGAAGGATGGTGATGGATCGTAAGTATGAAGAAATAAAATGGCTCCTGATTTCACCTTTGGAAAAGCATGGTACATCATTTGTATTTCACGCAAACAGATCTTGATTTAAGACTGCAACAGAATGGTGAGTTCTTGTTTAGTGGCAAACTGTCAGTAAAATCCCATTTTCATAGAAATGCCTCTACTAATGCACCTGTGGAAAGCGTTTTCTCCCATGAAAGTGTTCTTGACAGATGAATTTAATAGTTAATAATTCATGATGAATAGTTGGAAGGTAGGTTCTGGGCATGGATTGGTAAACTGTTACGATACTTTTTTGCAAAGCTGTAATAAATCTGGCTGACAAAGCCATAATGAAGGAGATTTACAACTGATAATGTTAATGTTTTTCTCTGCTGCCATCTAGAAAACTTGATTCTTTGCTGGCTAAGCAAGATGTATTAATAGGCAAAACAAAGAGAAATTTTTATTATGGTATGAATTTTGTAGCTCTGTGCATTTGTATTCGATGGACAACATAAAACTTCAGTCAAGAAGTCTACAATTAGTAGAACCAATTACAGGTTGTGTAATACTTTCTTCTCCTGATAGGAAGATATAAGCGGAAGTTGTCATGAAATTACTTCAGAGCAGAGTATTTTTTCTATAATATATTATACTATTTAGGGTCAAATGGTACACGTGTCTAACTACATAGTGCACAGGCACAAATACCTGTATCACAGTATTTGTACATGCAGCCACAGATTTCAGAGATTTTAAAGAGACCGAATTGTCACACCTCCTCAAATAAAGCCACCGTTCCAGGATCACATGTGATTTTAAATTGGTCTTTTACTGTACATTAGAGCTTTTTTTTTTTAATTATTATTTGCTTTGATGTGAAAATAATCAACATGTTTTGAAAGCCCAAGAGCTATTACCTACCAGCTCATCGATGTCGTGGCTTAGTATATTCTCATACTTCACACGGATTTCAGTTGTTTTATTTCCCATCACGCAGCTAGATGAATTCGCTGGAGACAGAACAAGGAGCAGCGGCAGAACCCGAAAGATAGATCTAAAAAAGGCTGGATCAAAAAAAGAGCAGTTAAGTACATGTTCAATGCCATAGAGCGTATGCCGTCCGGACAAACACATTCTGTGATCTGCTGAAACAGTTGAAAAGGGGTCTTTGTACGACCAAATGACTTGTACCTTGAGGGAAGGATTCAGCTCCAGATTAAGACACTATCTGGGTGTCTAAACTCCCTCATACTCAAGGATGATTTAGCCAGCGTGGTCAAGAGCCTACAACTATTGAGCTGACCAGGCACCTGGTGTCTGCTTGGGCTGAATTCACCTCCAGGCTTCACTGCAAGTGTTGAACAGGTCTCTCCATTGTCCGTACCTGGACCATAACCACCTAGTACATACATAGACAAGTAAGTGTCTTAGTCAAATAGGTGTAGACATTCAAGTGTCTTAATCTGCAGCTGAATCTCATCCTAACGGTCCCTTTTTCATCGGAGAAATTCTACAAATGCCCATGAACACGTCTTTACATCAACGCTGTGTTTAGACACATTTTCGAGCTGGCCAAATGTACAAACCCATAACATAACATAACATAACATAACATAACATAACATAACATAACATAACATAACATGGCCATAACATGAGATAAGGTGGCAAGGCACCTGTCCCTGCAAGATTTCTGCAATCTTCACTGCCCCTCACTTTGCTTCTCCCTTTAGTGGACCATCTTGCTTTGCTCCAATGGTCCTCTGGTCTTCTGTCTTTGTATGATATCCAGAAAAATATGAGTTCTGTGAGGATGGGCAGAGGGAAAAGACCAAAATATCACAAGAGCCTGAAGGGACTGACAGGGTAACTGGAAGCTGCAGGTGACTGGCCTGATGCTGGGAAGGAGGGAGACTGGGTACAGGAGATACCAGGTTTAGGGAGCTCATAATTGGACCCTGGCCTACAGCTGGTCTGAGTAGGATCATGCTGAAATGGAAGGTTTAGGAAAAAAAAAATGGACCTAGAAATTCAGGTTGGAGGATTAGCAAAGATCACAGCGGGTTCCTGGGCTAGTATGAGCTGTTCCCACCCACCTCTGCTTCTCAGTAAGAACAGCAACCGCACATGGAGTAACGCTGGGATTGCAGCCAGGCAGGGCAGAAGGGATGCCCTGAGCCCAGCTGCCACTTTCCTTCCTCTCCAGCGAGGATGGGACCATTGAGTTCAGCCAGTCCAGCACTCGGAGACAGGCATCTCTGGACTTGGGCGTCACTACTAAAGCCCAGCCTCAGAGGCAAATCTCAAATAACTAAGCAGAAAGCAAAGAAGCTCGACCATCATCTTTACCGAGCCACCAAACCTCCGCGACGGAAGAACCACAGCCACACCACGCACCCGTCTGCCATTCAGAGCAGCACAGCCCCTCACAGCCCAGCCCGGCAGACCCCCACCGCATGCTGCAGCTCCCAAGCCGAAGGCACACCACTTCTCCCGACTGCCAAAGCCTTTTTTTCCCAATAAACTACTGGCGAACGCGCCGCGATGTACACCTCTGCCCTAGAAACAGGACTGGAAGATTTTTACCTGTACGAGCTGAATTCCAAAATTCTTCTTGTGGCAAGCTGCCCGCCAAATTTTAGTGAGAAATTTGATGGCATGAAAACCAAATTTTCTAACCTTTTCACATACTGAGCATCTGAGGTCTGTTAATAACCTCAAAAAATCTAAAGCTGAATGGATGCTAAATGGATCCTACATGTAGTAAATATAAAAACTACGTAAGGCGAATTTACGATGAACTTCAAACTCCACGTGGACACCAGACTTCCACAGACCTTTACCGTTGTAAATCCATGCTAACTGTATCCGTGCCAAGCGAATTATTATCAGTTTGTAGGACTGAGATTTATTATTTTAAAAGAAGTCTACAGAAAAAAAAAAAAAAATCAAGAACTCAATTGCAGGATGATGTTTTTCCAACACACCATCGCGCCTCTTGATTCTGGTGCAGAAACAGAGCTGCAATGCTTGTTTCCAAACAGCAGTGATCCAGGCAGCGCCGACCTGCTGCTGCAGAAACATGCTTCATGAGACACAAATAACGGATCTCTGAATTAAAATCAGTCTTAACAGACTCCATCACTTAAAACCCGGTTTGCCAGGCCACAAGGGGAGAGAATAGGCCAAAACCACAGAGTCACTTCTATTTCTTTATTTTCGCTTTCTCCGTATTGCACAGATCGTGAATCTTTTTTAAACGCGGAAACCACAGCATCGGAGCAGATAACTCTGAAGGAGATGACGCACGCTCACGAAATCCCTTGACCCACTGCACGATCGTGATAAAACCCGGTTCTGCCCTTCCTAAATGAGTCCTCTGGAACCCATCTGACAAATGCCATAAAAAGCTCCAGGAGCTTCGGACTGCAAATCGGAAGGGTTTTGCTTGAAGTTGGGTAACTTCAAAAGAAGCGGAATCGTCAGCGCTGGGTACGACCAGCACTCTCAGGAGCAAGGGAGCGTGCGTTACTGGGAACAACCCCTCCTTCCAGCAAACTCCCAAAAACTCCTGTCTGGAAAGCCCCAAAAAATTCTCCCACAAAAGCCGGGAAGCGTTAGCATTCCGGTATTTCCAAATGTAAAAAAAAGCCCCTCTTGCTTTTCTTAATTAACCCCCCCTCCCGGGCGCGCTCCCG